CTGCTGAACCCCTATATTGAAATTTCTTCAGTGACAAAAAAATGATAATAGTAATAGATTATTATCAAAGACAATTTGCACACGAATTAAGACACCGTTCTTCATCTTATTTTCTTCCCTTTCCACATAGAAACTCAACTAAGCTCTGGTTGCGTATGAAAGTTGCAATGCAAAGATATGAAATGCTAGTGAATTCTGTATCCAGATCCATAAAGGTTAGCACAGCATCAATCATTGCATCACAATGTAAAGCAAAGTTTCCAGCTTAATTTTTCTCCCTTTCATATTTATAAGCACAGCAAAACCGTGTTATTTGATTAAGAAATTTCAAGTGATAAATTTAACTCTATGCAGTATTTTTCACCAAAGAAAAACCCTTGCTATTTTTGATACTCTAATAATATGCCACTAAACACATAGTGCAAATCTCTTGTACCATACGTTTATTTATTTTAGTGGGCATGGTACAGAAGTAATGGAAGATTGTTTTCAACCATGCAATATTTACCTTCCTTGGAAAATTCTTAGCATAATTTCAGAAACCTCCCTTGAGGTTTTTGACAATTTCACTTAGCTCCCCTGAGATTTCAATAATTACATGGACCTCCCTTGGTCCAATCAAATGACTAAAATGTCCTCCACTTAATAGTTAATTTATAAAGGGACATTTAAAACTGAAAAATATTTCTTATTATTCTACTTGTCATTTTCTAATCTCAAAAAACAATCTCCATCAATTTTCTAATTTTCGTCTCTTCCTCTCTCCCTCCCTTCCTCTATTATATTCTTCTCTCTTCTTCTCCTACAATTGCTTTTCCCTCCCACCAAATATCGTGCGTCATTGTTACCAACCATACCACTATCAATTTTTTACCATCTACAAAATTTATCTGTATTTTTTGTTTTCCTGTCTCTTTCTTACTATAAAAATTTTAGACCCTTTCTTTTTTTTCCCTATTGTTTTACTCCTTACAAATGTTAGCCAATTGAAGTTACCAAATTAACAAGGTGCAGATTGTAGATTTTATTGTCAAACTAGGGGAAGATGAAAAATGTAGTAGTGATATAGGAAAAAAATGAAATTGAGAGTTGGAACATAAAAAGATGACTATTATATTTGTTAATCAAAAAAAGTCTAACAATTATTCATTGGTTCTCTCTTTTATTTACTTATTGATTGTGATTTTACTATAAAGGTAGAATTTTGTCTCTATTTTCTAAGAGTGTTAGAGCAACGATGAATTATATTTTTAGGGACATGGGGTCATTTCTTAGTTTAATATTGGTCGTGGTGGTAGTGAGTTGCATTAGGCAAAAATTAGCAAGTAATAAATTTTGAGATGAGTTGGAGTCGCTGGACTTTGTTTGTTTTAGTAAGTATGTGTTGTACAAGAAATTAAAGATTAAAATGTTGTTTTATTTTGTCTTATTCTCTGAAGAAGGGTATTTTAAGATATTTGAAAAAAATTATAAACTATTGAGTCTATATTGTTATACAAACCTTAAAAGCAAGAGAGATAGGTGTAATTTTTGAAACTTGAGGGGAACTCTTTGTAATTGCTGGAAACCTCAGGGGAGGTTTTTGAAGGGTTGAAAAGCCTGTGCCTGTAGCATGTGATGCTGGGAAAGCTATGAAGATCCGATGAAAAATTACAAAGTATTGGCACTATGTTAGAACTCTTGGTGGATTTTTGGTTTATTTTTCCAGTTTATGGACTTGGATTTTACTATTAAGATAGTTTCAAGTGTTAATTTTTTTACAATAATAAAACTAATTCAGGAAAATATTAAAATGCATAGGATAACAAAAGTGAGTGTATGCATACATATGTCAAGTTAGATGCGATTTAGGTTTCTTAACATTATAAATCCTACTAAATTTTGCATATTTCTCTGTTTTTTTTTTAAAGATAAGTTATGCACTTTTGCTATGTTTAGAATATTCTAATTCTTTCCTTCCTAATTTTTTCCCTACATATGTACATATAATTAAATCTTCACAGCTTGACTTCTCTAGTAAAACAATATTAATTTTTCTAAATTTGAGGTTAGATTATTGTATATTTTGTAACAGCATAGTAACATCTGGAACGGTAGATTGGTGATTGAAAGAGTAATTTGAGCATCTAACTAAGTAGGAAAGGAAAAAAGTTAGTCTTTAAATTTTTTTTTCCTTTTGGTAAATATTGCTATTTTTCAATATAAATCTTGGTAAATATGTTTACAAATCAAAGGATGTTCAAGCAAAGGAAAATAATGAAGAGTTGACAATTTTACTTCTTTAATTCCAGTGGCATCTATCGTTTCACAGCGTCTCATCAGTCTCTTTTAATTGCAACAACCAGGAAAGTTCAATATTATGTACACAATCTCTCAATTCTCAATCAGAGAAGCCTCATGTATCCATGAAATGGAGGTTCATAAGCTCGACTTGTAAGAAAGAAAAAAGGAAGAAGAAGAAATTAGGCACAAACGTAATAATTTTGCATGTGATGCCCAGAAAAACAACTTTCTGCGCCTAAATGTATGGAAAATCTGTATATTTTCCTTCCCATGAAATACTAGTGTCAAACTTAGGATGTTATTTTCTAAGAAACGATTTTTATACTTTCCGTGACCACATTTTTTAATCATCTTTTTATCTCACATATATCAAAATATTACAATATATATTTTTTTAAAAAAATTCAAAAAATAGCTATCCAAATGGAAACTAAAAGCCAAGCTTTTTAATGTGGACAAATGAAGTTGAAGATCAATTGGAAGCATCCAATATTGCTATAGTATCTGAAAAAAATTGTTACATCAAGTCAAACAAAGGAAGCTGCATTCTCTAATGATCGAGAATTAAGCAACATCCTTTGTATGTCAAGTACAAGACTAGAATTTAGAAACATGAGAAAAAAAAAAGCACATAATTTCTTTTCTTAATCCGCGGCCAATAGACTAATGGTGATGGGCTTGATAATGACCCCCTACATAATATGACAAATTGGACCCAAGCTCACAATTATTGATACTACAATGATTCATCGTCATATTAGTTTTTCACATTATGACAATGATGTTTGTTGCTTACACTATTCTCGTTTCGTCTTTTATCTTGTAAATTTCTACCTTTGTTTAAGCCGTTCGATTTCTTGCCCCAAGTTGCCCAACAAGGTAAGCAACTCCAATGCCCTTAAAACTATTTCTTCTATGACATTAAAAGTTATCTTGGGGTGAAATAAAACTCTTACTAGGTATTTTAATTTTTTTCTTTTTTTTTGTACATGCGAAGATTTTTAATTCGGGATGAATCTAAAAAAAAGAGCAAAAGTTCTTTCCCAAATTAAAAATTTTTGTCAGCAACTGTATTTATGTAACACAAATTATCTCTTATTGGAAATACTAAACAACGTATATTTAAACAACGTGGACATCAAATTGCCAGAGAGAGAGAGTGTGTGTGTGTTCAATTTTGCTTTTTTTTTTCTTCCTCCTTTGTTTTTCTTTTCTTTACGAGAAACTAATAAAGAAGAGAAGACGAAGTGATCTTCAGCTCTGTATGGATTTTTTTCGCTTTCTGTTACATTTCTTTTTCCATGTCCTCTAAGCAGTTTTCTTTCACTTTCTGTTACATTTCCTTTTCCCTGTCCTCTAAGAAAAAGCAACTTCTTCTTCTTCTTCTTCTCCTTCAATATAATTAATGTCTTTTTGGGTCCAAGCAGGGGCAGCAAACTAGTAAAGTTTTCTAAGCCAATAAATTTCTGTCTCCTTTGGTCACAGGGAGTGGTCCAATACCGACCTCATGAACAAATAAAATGGCCAATTTGGGACTTGTAAGGCAAGATTAGCGGCTGTCATGACAATGATCTTCAACAATGAAAGCTTTAAGAACCCTTTTTTTTTATTTTTTAATAATCTGTGCGAATTATTATTTCTCATGAATCCCAATTTGTGACCTTCTTCATTTATCAATTTATTTTATTTTATTTTTTTGCATTTTTTGAAGAATAATACATAACTCCAAACTCTGTAAACAGTTATATATAGAGCCTTAATATATAAACCAAAAGACAAAATCACCTAACAATTGCAAATTTTCCTGGCAGGTATACGAGGTATGCCACTTTCAAAATTGTTATATATTTTTCATTATTTGTCATTTAATTTCTGTCATTAACCACATTATCTTGTTGATCACATAATTAATACGTTAATCTACTCTATCAATGTGGTAAAAATTAACTATGTTTGAAAGTGTTTCTTTTTTCAGCCTATCATTTCCCATTTGGTGAATCCACCAAATCCCCAAAAGACCATTTCATCGCTCTATGATTTTTCCCTTATCTTTCTATGCCTAGTTTACAAAAATAAATGACCGGAAAAACATAACTATACATATTCTACTATAGTTTAGCCTGCAAAAGAACCCAAAAAAGGAAAAAAAAAAAAACTATTTCAAAGGTCGAAAGCAATAATTTGCCGTTGATTTATATGATCATATTTCCAAATGAAAGCTAAGAAAAGCTCAATTCTGTTTTCCTGAATACAAGCAAGTCATATGACTTTTCCATCAATAGAAATAAGGTCTCCAGCTCATAAATGATATCAATTTCAAAGGAAATTAAATGTTGACCGATGGATTAGTAGAGTAATTTTGTAACAAATTGGCAAAAATAAAAAGAATCCACGCAATCTTTCCTTTTCTAAACATTTAATTCTTTTTACTAAATGCATTTTCAAGTCCTTCGATTGAAAGTTCAAACCAAATTCATTTTCACGACTGTACCCAATTTCCCAGCAGCTCCTAGGAAGCTGCCCCCACTGCTTCTATGGTACTAATTTCTTGACTCAGTCAGGCCCATCAATTTATACCAAAATTAATTTTCATGCAAATAGAAAAAAATAAAAAAAGCGCTGGAAAAACAATTTTTTTGTCCAACAAAAAAAAAAGAAAAGAAAAACTAATATCACTATTGTTCTGAAATACAAACGCTAATATACAAGCAACTGCCTCATCTGGAAAAAACAGGCTCTTCTGTGATTGTATCCAACAAAGGCTTCCTTGATTTGCACGATGCTAATCTAAATCTATATTCCATATCCTTAAACCCTTCAATCTCCTCCAAATTCAACCTCGACCGCCCAACTTCTTGATCATCATCTCTTGTCACCGCGGCGGCCGCCACCTCAGGTTCAACTTTGCCACCGGCTATCCGCCTCGCTGCAGTGTTCGCCGCCATCAAAACCACCGCCATATCAGCTGCAGTGACGATGGAATTCACGCGTTTCATCTGAAACATGATATAAACGTTGCCACACTCCAAATCTTCATCGGCAGAAAGGGCGGAAAATCTTTTTCCAATATTCAAGGACTTAGAGTTCACCAAGAAGTAGTTTGGACATTCTAGCATGAGTTCTGCTGCCTTCACCAGTTGCCGGAACTGCCGTACTTCGCCGCCTGGGAGAATAACCCTGGCGGCCCTGGTGGTTTTCATCAACGGAGTCGGAAGAGTGCTGCATGACATCAAGTTTCCCATGCTGGAAGGGGGAGAGAGAGAGAGAGAGATGAAGAAAGGTGTTTGAAGTGCTGTTTAGTGCGTGTCTATGTGTGAACCGGTGGAATTGCTTTGCTATTTAAAGGGTTTAAAAAGCACAACTATTGCGCGTGGAGGCTATAATTTACTACTAATAATTATGTGTAGGTTGGAGTAACACAAATGTCAATTTTCAAATTAAGCAATTAATAGTCTAGAAATCCAATTATAGGAAATTTTTTGACTTTCCTTCTTCTTTCTTTTTTTTTTTAAATTTTCCATAACCTATTGCCTCAATTTGGAGAATCGTTTATTGTTTATTAATTTTTTTTTGGGGAGGGGGGGGGGGGGGGGAGGAATAAATGGCAATGTGAATTTTAAAAAGTGGTTCAAGATTTTTTTAAAAAGAAAATCAGATAGCAACCTTATCCAAATACAGTTAATTAGTAGAGTATATGTTAGGCTCAAGAGAATATAAGCAAATCACACGCACTAAAACTTTCATTTAAGGTGGGAAATGGAAAATTAATTCATTTCAATAAGATATAACTATATATATAAGCAATAATATCCACAAATTACATACTATTGATTAGGATAAGATATTTTTTTGCTTGTGATAAGATTTTAAAGAAATTTAAAATGTAATTAACAACGATATGTCCTACAAAAGTTCAATGTGAAATGATGAGGAAATTGTATAGAAATGACTCATCCTAGGGATGTTTGAGCTTGAACCCGGATGACAAGGACATATAATCATAGTTAAGGGATCCTTAATAGGAGTTAGGATCTAGCCACCCTAGTACTAGAAATAGCTAAGGGCAACAAATTCGATTACTATTTGGCAAAGGCAGAGCTCTAACGCAGAGACTTTTGCGGCTGGGTTTGACTAGGGTGTCCGCGTTGGGGGCGAAATTTGTGGAAAAGATGAAGGAAAGTTATAGGAATTAGTTTCGTAGTTTTGAGTCATTGGTGTCACGAGTCCTTTGGCATTGATGCGTGTGGGGACTGCGACCCCGTGGGAAAATATGCTCAGTCTTTGGAAGTTAGTACACAAGTTTAGAACTAGAACTATCTATCAACTATGATGTAATTTCTTTACCCAGCAAAACAAGCAAGCAAACATCTTGGTTTCGTTTATTCTTTTGTTTTCTTTATGTGTTTCCTTGAGAATAACCAATTTATCTGCAGATTTTTGTGGTGTACAATGTGCAAGCTTGATGTATTATTATTGAGCTCGGGGTGGATTATTCTTTGCCAACTTTTAATTTACATGATATGCACTCAAAGTTTTGAGGATTGTTGGTTAATTAGAAATTACTAGTATTTAATATATATGGATTAATTTTTTTTATACATTGTCACTCTTAGGTAAAAGTTATTTCTAGTGTACGCAACAAAACATGAGTATACTAAGGGTTTATCCAACGAGCACCAGTTAAAATAGGTATAAGTTAAATATACTAAAAGGTACTAATCAGACACACCCGTTAATAATAAAATTCTTTCTTTTTTTTTTTTTATGGAAGAGAAAATATGGTAGATTATGAGATAATATTTTGCAACCTAACCGCTTTTGAAAATTGAAACACTACCAAATCATCCCTATGGCCTGCCTAATCTTCGGATTACTTTTGTCTTGCGGTCGAAATTGCAAGAAACTTTTCTCTTTAGTGCAGTAGATTAAACATTGAGAGTGTCAACTTCGTGGTATTGCTTTCCAACAGCCACCCCATGCGATTGCCCTTTTAAATTCTTGGCCACCTAGACTTTCCACGCGATTTAGTGGTCCTTTATGCTGCGGAAAATGATTTTCCATCAAATCATTTCTTGACAACTTACAAGGTAACTGCAAATCCTGCATTATTGAAGGCTTATGTGGTTAGGCTATGATTACTTTCATTTGACTTAAGCTTTGTGTTTAGTTCTTGCTGTTGATACAATTTTAGCTTTGCTGTCACGTTCTGGTTCAACAAAGGAGATAATTCACTAACCTTTCGGCACAGCTTCATTTTCCCATGGCCTAGTTTTGATGTATGATGGGGTAGGGCAAGAACCAAAGTTTCAGCTTTACTCTTTTGCCTGGAGCATTAGGAACTCTAGTTACATAAGTGGTCACTCTTTAATATATACTAGTTTGTTTGTGTCTCATGAGATGCATGAGGGTGCCCAATTTTTTATAACGTTGTTAGTTGTGTGTACGGAGTTAAGAGTGGGTGTGAGTGAATTTGATGATAAAATAGTGGAGTTCAAAATACTTAGGTACGGACAAGGGGCACCTGCAACCGTCCCCAGTGATTTTAGCCATTTTCAACAACACGTAACTTTGGTTGCACGCAGAGTAATTTTATTTGCACAATGTGTAACTTTAGTACAAAATTTTGCGGACCTCACCTGCGGTGCAAAAATCGATGCACAACTTGTGATCTGGATCGCACAAAATTTTTTAACCAAATCATGGCCATTAATTGTTCAGGGATGGTCATCAGAATGACCGTCCCTATCCCTTGTCCCTTAGGTACATTGATTTGTAGTAGTCTGTACGTTATCAAAAGTTGATTATTACAGGATAGAAAGCTCAAACACGAAGAGCCGTAGACAAAAGCACTATTTACCTTAGCAAAAGTAGATGGTTGCATGATAGAAAACTAATGTCAAATAGCTATTGCAAAATTATAGGTGACAAACAAACTCATTTAACTAAATTTATCCATACCTATTCATGAATAAATGGATATGGGTATCTTAAAATTTTGCATATGGGTATAAATAGGTTACCCAATAATATCCATTTATAAATCGGAATTATTGGATAACCCATCAAATCCAATTAATCTATTTAGTATTGTCTTCTCCCACCCATTTTTTTTTTCAAATTCTTCATTTTGTCATGATGTTAACTACTTTTGTTTCATTACTATTATTATTTGTTGGTTTTATCTTATCATTTTATTTTATCTTAGTTTGTTAATTTGCTTATTTTTTAGCATTACCAATTTATGACAAGTTTTAGCCTCTTTTCCTACCTTTTTAAAATAAAATTTTAAATTTACACACGAAAAAAACGCTAGGGGTTCAAAATTTTTGGATTAAGTCAAAATTTTTGGATTAAGTTTTTCTGTTAACTTTTATAGTACTTAATTCAAATTTTTATATTCTTATTTTTAAATTATTAATAGTATGTAATTTTGTGACATAGAGTACGGATGGGAAAAAAATTGATAATTGGCTTATTGAACATTATACGTAAATATTTAAAACTAATGATGGGTGCAAAGGGTAGTATAAATTGATAAGTTAGTTTGCAAAAATGAATTTAAATGAATTTACAAAAGTTAAAATAAATGGATTATAAATGGGTAATTAGGTTACCCAATTCATTTTTTAACTTATCCATTTATACCCATCTAATTAAATGAGTATAAATGGGTTGACTTACTTATACTCATTACTCATTTTAACCAATCCAAACTCGTCCAAATCACCCATTTTGATACCCCTATGCAAAACATAGGTGGGCTACATAGTTTTAAACATAGGTGGGAAGAAGAGATTGCCAGGACAAAAAACACTAAATTTGCATTTGGAGCATTTTAGACAGACATGCAACTTCACCAGGCTCCAAGTGCTTCCACGTAGTAAGGCAACAAGACCAATGTTCCACTAACCCAACTCAATCTGTACAATACTAACATGTTAAGGTGAAATTCCAAATTTAGCCACCTAGTCATGGTGCCCATAGGGGACCATTACCATTGCTGCTGCTCATATTCATAAGTCAACTCCCCTTTTTATACCTTTTAGGATATATATATATATATATATATATATTCAAAAAATTGTTCTGGATTTGAATATGATGACTCTTTTTATAGGCATTGTTTACATTGCAAAGGGTGATTAGGTGGTTAATTTAATATTATGAAACTGGAAAAATCCTTTCATTCCTCTAATATATTTTACATGAAAAGAATTGTGTCACTTGCATAGCTTAATGAAGCAAGAAAACTTAAGATTGTTACTTGTTATCTTGCTTTCTATTAGAAGTTATGGTTGGATACCTAGGTATTAAATTAGTAAGACAGGCTGAAAAGCAAAATTATCAAACCACAAAATCCTGCATGCCCTTGCATTTTTTTTTTTTTCACAATATCAAGAAAATGCAGGCAGTTGCATATGTGAAACTTCGGCAGGTAATCCGCTATCAAAGGCGTGGTTGCCGCCGTCACTGTTTTTATTGAATTAATAAGGGGCGTTCCCTAACGGAGTAAATTAAGATTAAACATCATTTAATGTTCAACAGTGATTTGGACCAACCAACTTCTAGTGATTTTCTAATTAGTAGCGTCTACGGCATCTCAATTTAAAAGTCAAGGGGAATTTACTTCACGATCTACAAGTAATACACTGGATTCCATAAAAAAACCGACAAAGAGGAAAAGCACGGAGAGAGAGAGAGAGAGAGAGAGGGTATAATTGCTTTGTTGGTATGCTTATTTCACCTTTTAATTTATCATTTGAATATACACTCACCCCATTTATCGAGACACTCGTGAGGCTTAAATTTACTTCATTGTGGAAAAAAAAACCTAAAGGTGTGTTTAATAAAATTGAAATATAAAAATATGAATTTTGAAATCTGAATCTATTTAAGTTATTGATTTTTTAAAATTTTTTTTTATTGAAGTTACTGAATTGTTTTTTGAGCGCATTCTGCATTAAGTGATAAATAATTTATTAATCACTTATTTTTTTTTTAGAGTAAATTTTGTCTAAACAATTCAAATTCACTTAATTGATTAAAATGTTCTATTTTTCATCACGAATCACGTTTGAACATGATAAGATCTTAATTCTTTAAATTTAATTTAATTGCTGAATCGAATTATCCAACAGACCTAACACGACGCATAAAACTTATGTTAACGAGATTTTTTTTTTTTTACTAAACACCTATTAGACAAACCTATACAATAGATCATCATAAATTTCTAAGCCAGATAAGAGGAGAAAAGAAAAAGTGAAAGCCGACATCTACTTAAGATTCCTTGAATGCAGAAGAAAAAATGGTATCAGGATTATCCACTTCTTCTGGATTCCGTAGTACACTGATGATCATCTTGCTGTCACCAAACTCCGTGTTAATCTGTCGACTGATTCACACAATTCTCTGGTGAAATTGACTCCATCCTAAACAATTGCAATAGGACTGTATATGCAGGATACGTTTATCAAGTCAACCAATTGACTAGTATCAGCTTCTCATAATTAGCTAGCCAACCGACGGCTTTTGAAGAGATCCCCATGTGGGATTAAAGGTTCATTAGCCTTTTATTTTTATTATTTTTATGTTAAGAGCTGATATATTATGAATTAATTAACAAGGACCAGATGACGGCCTTGTCGGTTTGTAGATTGCAGTTCCAATTGCCCACAATTTAAGATTCATTTCTTACTTTTTTTTTTCCCATTTATTTATTCAAAACTCGAAGATTCAAAACAATCAAGATTGCATAAAATTATGCGATTGAATATTGAGCTAACATTTTTTTCTTCTTCTTCTTTTCTTTGTCATTTATTCTTTACGTTGTAGCTTGTATGTTCTAGAAAAGGCAAATTAAAAATAAACAGGACACAATTAGAACGTGTTCTTAGGACATTTTGACAACTTATTATTTATCACCTTGTGATCTTAGGAGCTTCAGACTAGATAATATGCATTGGTAGGTAAGGGTCCATGCCCCTTTTTGTTGAACAATTGAAGATATAAGTATAGTTCATGTAAAAAAAAATAGTTTTTATGCCTAAACAAATCCTTCTAGAAAATACGCACTCAGTCACAAATATAAATTGATCTCAACATCAAGAAGGTAGTTCTGAAATAGTCACATGAACAGAAATTATCCAAACATGAATTTAGGTAATATTCTACGGTTTGCACAATAAATGCAACTCCGGTTGTAAGCCAAATCTGTACGTAAATTATCACCTGTTCAAGATCAAGTAAAAGAACGCTTCAACTCATATAGAAGTCAAGAAGTAAACTGAGTCAAGATGAATGCTCGATCAAATTTATAAACATCTAAGTAACCTTAAATCCTATGATCTTTAGACACAACTCTTATTTTGTAAGAGCTTAAAGAGTTGTGTAGATCACAGTTCCCTCAACCAAAAAAATAAATAAAATTGTTGGTGAATAAAAGTTAAAAGAAGAAAGAAAGAAAGAAATTGTGTTGTTCACCTAGATTATACTAAGTGGAATCCTACTCTCCATGTAGAGATCATAGGAAATAACTTCAAATATGAATTTATGCATCTCATCGAGTTTCACAAATATAAATTCTAACAGTACCATGTTGGAAGAGAAATATATGAAATGAGAATGATCAACAAGTCCACGAGTGGAGAAGGATTGATGCAGCAGTTCTTCTCCAAAATTTGAAGAAGATGACATCAATTGCTTATCAATATTTGCAAGAATTAAAAGTCTCTTTTAGGGTAGGGTTCCTAACAAGTTTTTCCTCTCTTAAAATTTTTTGACGAGAGTTTCATTTTTGTTAGATTGTTCTAATGAGAATTTTCTCTTCTCTTAAAATTTTCTTGTGAGGAGTTTTCTTTATTTTTAGTTATGTATCTTGTTAGATCTGCAATTTCTTAGATGTGTTTTTGCAGACCTAGAAATTCTCAAATTTATTCTGTTGGATTTTTTTTTTCTTTTAGTTTGAAAGAGTTTTACATTGGATTTGACTATTGAAGACATGCACAAATTTGGGCTCCAAGATATTCGTCCGATGTTGAAAGATTTTTGGATCTTCATAGTACTATTTTACTTTTTTTTTTTTTTTAATTTCCAAATTTGTTGCGTCCGTCAATTTTCAAATTGTTTTTATCTGTTGTATGTCCGATGTATTGCCTGTCGTTAGTACAGATTTATGGAATAAAATTATTTTGTTTATCAAAAAGAAATAAACGATCTTGTTATTTCATATTAAAAAAAATTAAGTGCCCCATTAGGGAAAAAATGAAAACCTTCTTTAAACAGACCTAGCTAAACACATTTACGTAACATGATAGTAGCCAGATCTAAGTTAGGCATATAAATGTATCCCTGTGGTTCTACCTGAGTAGGTGGCAGAGTCTTTAACACTTGCAATAAAAAATTTTTTGCCATTGACTAATTACATAGGTAAAACCCAAAGAATCATCCAAAATTAAACCCGGAATAAATGTTCGACGTTAACAACATGACATAAATATTTCTTTAACTGAGAAAAAAAATCAATATTAATTTACTCTGTGACACTGCAAATTAATTATTTTCATTCATATGCAATTTAGGTCATCTTGCTGTAAATCACCAAACTCTGTGTTAATATGCCGACTTATTTGTATAATTCTTTGGTGAAATTGACTTTTATCTTAAACAATTGCACAAAACTGGTTTATGAGCCAACCAATTGACTAACATCAATTTTTTTTTTTTTTATCATGATTAAAGCTTACCTAACGGCTTATGCTCAAATCCCATAATCCATTTGGTACTAAAGTTTCATTAACCCTTTTTTTGATATTGGGAGCTGGTCTATTATGACCTAATTAGGACCACATCTCAACCTTGTCTATTTGTATACTAAGTATCACGTACTGACAATTTAAGGTTCAGTAGTTAGATAATAAACAATTTAAACAGCCAAATGCGTTTTGTCTAGTAGACCCAAAATCGAAACTACTTTTTTTTTTCAAGGAAAACTGCCCATTGTCTTTTTTTTTTTTTGGTGTCCCGCAGGGAGTGGATCCCACAGACTATTCCCCACCCTCCATAACTTACTGGCAGCAAGGTTCAAATCAGGGACCTAAGGCTCCATCTTCAGCAACCTCAACTGCCCATTGTCAATTAGTTACATATCATTTTATGTTTGGTGAATTAATCAGCTTAATTAAAATATTAATGAATCCAAGATTGCAACAGCCACCCCATCCAACCCTGTGAGGGAAATATGACAACAGAGTGCTCAAACTTGATCTTCTTGCCCTGATTTGCAGCCTTATGGCAAGTCAATACATAAAATTTGTGAACCATTATTAATCTCCCTTTGTTCTAAAAAATCCAAATAGTACAATAATAGGCTTGTTTGGTTTGGACTTTAGAGGTTCGGCTCTCAGCTCCTCTATAAATCTTATTGGGCGCTCCGCTCCTCCACAGTGTAGGAATAGTGTACATTGTTGCGATCGCGATATAAATCAAACAGGATATACTTAAAACATGTAAGACAAATGATGTTAAGCTCAGTGGCCACCACCTCTCCTGATGGGATGGGAGATCAGGGGTTCAACCTTTGCCTTCCATCAAATTGTCTGCCCCTCATGGGTAATTCAGTTGGTCTCAGCAAGTTTCTTTAAGAGCTGGTATCCAATGCCTGCAAGGGTCCGAGTCCTCTGATTATCGTGTTCGGGGGATGGGTCTCTCCTCCCGGGCCGGAGTAGGATTAGTAGGGTCCTGTAAGGATTGACCCGGATACCCACTCCGTTAGCAAAAAAAAAAAAATGATGATACACTAGATAATATTTATGAGGGGATTCTATGATCCATTTTTGTTACCATACCCTCAGATTAAATTTACTGTAGAGGTTGCGATTAGTGTTTTAAAATTCTCAGATTGTAGCAATATCAATTATATAAAATATAAAACACTATCATTATTGAGAATAATATACGTACATTGAGGGAATGGAAAGGGATCGTGTAATTTTTAATGTTTGTGGGTAGGTAGGTATACAATCACAAGCGTCATGTCAGTAATTTCAAACCGAAGAATATATTAAAGTAGTTTATCACAAAATGTTTTCAGCAAAATTCTGCTGAAACAAATCCTTCTAGAAGGCTATATTAAGTCCTTGGGGACTTTTTCAATCACAAATTTAAACTGATCTCATCATCAATAAGGTAGGTTTGCAATTATATGCTGGTAATATATATTCTAATGCGGTTGCAAAATAAATGTATAAATCATACAAGCTAGTTCTGTCGTAATTAAGTTTCTCCTGTTTGTAAATTATTCGTCATTACCTATTTAGGTAAACTCGAGTACGTCGAAGTCCAAGTAATTAAACTTACTCAACTACAAGCTCGATTATTACCAAGATGATCAATTCTTCGCCTTGAACTTTTCCGAGTAGCCTCTAATCCTAATTCTAGAAGATTTAGACATAACTGACTAGGTCTGTGTTAAGTACTGCCTTCCCAGGAAATAATAATTTCTCTTGCAGTCCTTGTCTAGATTAAAAGACTAAATCTAAGCGGATTCCTACGTACTCTCCAAGGAAATAATAATTTCAAACACATGATTCTTGTTTCTCATCAACATGTACATGCATTTGAGTTCTAGCTACCATGTTGGAGGAGAAATTTTATAAAAGGATGAACAAGTGCAGGAGTAGGAAAATCAATCAATTGCTTATGAATATTGTTGCTCAGAAAGGGTAATGTTTGCTAGAGTCTTCAAGTTGATGGGTCGAATGCTGGTGCGGCCTCCACTCCACAAAGCCTTGGAAATGAGTTTGTAAGTGCGTTCAGAGGGGTGGAAGTAATCCCAGAACAAGTTTCGATCTGGCTTTGGACAAATTGTGTAACCCTCTTTTCCACATTGCACCATTCCCCCAAGAGTTCCATAACCACAACATGCATTTGTTACATCATTGAAGCCTGCTATATGTCAAATATCAGTGGTCAGTAATGATACACATAAAACCAATTTTATGCAAAAAAAAGGTTAGTACGAGTTTTGAGAGACGATATGCAGTGAAAAATTTAACAAGGAGGGAATCATACTCCTCATGAACCCCTAAAGAAAAATGGACGACGTTTTAATGGATTCAAGAAAACCAAAAATGAAAAAGTAGATGGAATCAAAGGTAAAGAGAAAGGGTGGTGGGGAGGCAACTAATACCAATTTTTAGATAGTTATTGACTAAGTTTGGCTGATTCTTGCGTAGAACCATTTTTTATTTTGGGTCAAAAGGAGGGTTTAAGCCCATAAAACCATTTTTGACACTAATACAAGTAGGATAAAAAGTCATAGTTAACGAGATTCACGGCCTAATTAACCAACCAGTCTAATCTAGGACTTTGAAAAAAAAATGCTCCAGAATGATTGTTCATATGACACAAAAATTTTTAGGAGAAAAAGCGTAACAATTATAACTTTCCTTCACATTTTCTTTTCATTTCATTCTAGGTCAAACAGACGAGTAAACTTGTGAAAAACAAATATGAAAAAGATTACCGTATTGGCTCGGATTGGCTCGAAAAAGTTGGACAGTCTTATAAACCGCTCCATAAACAGCAATTGCGCCAGGGTACTTGCTAGGAATGGCCTTGACAAGATTTTCCAATCCCATGTTGAAATTCTTGACCATTTTGTTCATCTTTCCATTGCACTTATCAGTTGGCGCACCAGGCAAAAGGGCCCTTGCTGGGACACAGCCAACAGGTCCCAGTGAAAATAAGGCAATTTTGCGTGCCCCAAGCTCATAAATTTGGTCAACAAAATTACCAACTTGTTTTAACATTTCTTGGACATAAGCATCTGGGCTAAGAGTTGGGGCATCAAATGGAGAAAAGTAGTTAAAGGCATCATTTGAGCCTGATTCCAAGAAGAACAGAGACTGCTTCACCACTTTCTTGTCTAGATGATTTTGCTCTATCAGTGACTTGAATTGTTGCAGTTGGGTTTGGAGTGATGTAACATTCTGGAATTGAAATACATAAGAATGTCATGATTTGGTTCTAAGAAGATCTAAAAATTGATTATTTGGTTCAGATTTGAACATTAATTCTTATCTTACCAAATCTTTGTTGGTTGTGGAAAGAACACCGCTTCCAGCGCTAGCAAAATTGATGCCATTAGATGGATAATTCTTTAGAGTTCCATTAATTATATCAAGCTGTGCCTCGAGGAATGGTTTTTGTAACGGGAGACCAAGAAATTGAGCTGCATTTTGAAAGCATGAATTTAGAATAACAGAACAAAAAAGAAAAGCAAATGTAATATATATTAAGATCCATCCTGACTTTTGTGCCTGCATTAGTTTAAGAAAGGCAAAAGAACCACTCACATAAGAAATCTACAACTGTTCTGCCATTGGTGAATCTTCCAGTAGGGCGGTGAAAGAAAGTTGAACCATAAGGTGGAAAATCAGCTTGAGCAGCACAGTACTTGTTATAGTGATTGTTTCCGGCATCAAAAATTGAGTCTCCAAATACGTAGATTGATGATACCTTGCATCCTAAAACAGATGACAAAAAGTTTAGGAGGAGAAAGAATATGAGGGTTTTCTCCATCAGGGCTTATGTGAATAATATGCGCTAGAGCAAAAGGGTGGTGTGAATTTTTCTGACTAGAAAGAGAGGAGAAGAAAACAAGGAGAGTGATGAAATGAAATGGAAAGCACGAGCTCAGGCCATGCATGATGAGCATCATCATTCATCACCTTCTGATCAAAAACAGCTAGCCAAAACTGTTACCTGCCACCAGAAAAATTTGTCTTTTTCTGCAAAAATAGTTCCATTTATCTGCTGTTTTTTGCATTTAAGGTTGTGAACTTGAGATGAAATGCATGCTGCAAAGGAAAAATTTTTTCCAGCAGAGATTTGACTTTCTCAAATGTATTTGCGTTACTTTTGAAAATCCTGTACATCCCCTTTAGCCATGGTTTTCCTTTTTTCTAGCTTATCGTATTTTTGTTTAACTAAAATTGCAAAAGGAAGTCTTCTTTTCCCCAAAATGAACAGAGACTATAACTATATGGAGACCAACAAGAAAAGAATATAAGCACACATGAAGAGAGCTCCTAGATATGTAGATAGTAAACAAATTTTATGCAAAATTTCGCTGCCTTGATCCTTTTATTTTAGAGATGTGTACACATTGTGTTCTTGGAATGTCCAACAATCTTTTCTATTTAAAATTGGGATGGGAAAAGAGAAACTAAAAACTGGAGGGGAAGTGGTAAAGGCCTTCTTTTTTTTTTTTTTTTTTTCATGATGAAGTAGAAAGCGTCATAATGAGTTCTCTCAAGTCATTTCCCATCTAAAAGACTTCAAATTCACACAGTTTTGGACATCCTGAAAAACAATGCAAGCTAGAAGGGCAAACAACTAATTTGTAAAGGAATGACGAGGCAAACCAATTCTTAATAACCATAATTACTTATTATTAATGGCATGCTTCGAGTTCATCGGAAGCCATTTTTCAGCGTATACATTATACAAGTCTACTTATGATAGAATACTTATTATTTAGTTGCTATCTAATTACTACAAGAAATTCTTGATTCAGGTAGGACACTTTGAGTAATTACTATTACTTATGTGGGAGTTTTAATCATACAAAATACAAGTGACAAAAAGTAAATACTGGAGATTGACATCTTATGCCTGAAGAAATTACTTTCGGATGGAAAAATTTTATCATCTTTTTGGATGAAAATTAACTATCAATTTGACAGTTAGGGGCAGGAGCAAAGTGCAAATATAATGGATTCATAGGGCAAAATGCAACTTGCCCGTTAATTACAAGGGTGTTTAGCATAATTGAGCCATTCTTTCGTAGGTTGTATTCATAATTTCAGCGCTCCCTCCTCCCTTACTGGTTGCTACATTAACCACCTCAGACCCCAAAAAAATAAAAATAAAAAAAATCGCAGTTGATTTCTTCGCGGAAATCAGTGAAATGAACAGAGAAATAGAAGAAATCCAAGAAGATTTATTAGCAAAGGCAGCAAAAGCAGCTGATGAGCTCTACAACATTCGGGACACCTACTTTCCTGCGGACCCAAATGACAAAATATCCAAATTGCAAGCTGAATCGGATCTTGTCCTGCAAACCCTCAATTCCATTCCTCCAGGTAGAAACATGTACTTGTGCATTACAAATTTAGCAAATTAGTAAAAAAGTTTACATTTTTGTTAATGGGTTTAAGAGATTTTCCTTTCTGGATTGATGTGCAGAAAACAGGAAATTGCCAATTCAACGTGCAATGTACGAGTACTTGAAAGGGAAAGTATTGGATGTCTTCTCTGATTATAGGAAAGATGCTGAGGATCATCTCTCAAAAGCAGTTAGTATAAAACAATTGATTTGTATCAAAAGGGTCTTTGTTTCTATTTTGTCTATTTTTAATTGAGTTGTTTGATTTTGCTGAAATTTGACTGTTTCTGAATAATGGCTTTTTTTTTTATTTTAACTATTTTTGGTGCTAAAGGTTAAGTTGAATCCATCTCTTGGAGATGCATGGTTGAGCTTAGGCAACTGTATTTGGAAGAAGGGAGATTTATCCGCGGCTAAGAATTGTTTTATGCTTGCTTTAAGCAAGGTCATTTATTTTATTCTTTCGAAACTTTGTTCATTTTATTAGTAGTATGTTAAGTCATGCAGTGGTGTAAGTTAGCTAGTTGATGATACGAGACTGATGTTGTTTCTGTTCAGGGCCCCAACAAAAGGATACTCTGTCAATTATCTATGCTCGAAAGGAAAATGGCTCAAGGCAAGAATTTTATGGATATTGTTGTAGTTTTTTTCCATGTAATTTTGCTCATTCTTTGACTGTCTTCCTTTGAGAGATGGGGGAATCCATGACTGAATGACTGAGTATGGTGAAGCTGAAGGACGTGCCAAATTGTAAATGTGAATTTATAGCTGTTGAAAGTCAGAGATCCTTACTTTAGAATCTAGCGTAGTAAGATTTTGAGTATTACTTGAGGTAGGTCATCATGGTTTTTGAAAATTTTGAGCTTATTCAAGCGATTAGGGAAATGTGGCTAGCCGGATATCCTTAGTCATGGAGCGTGACTCATATGTTGGTTCTGGCTTTGTTGCAATGTGACCTCGATGAATAACTGTTCTCTTTGAGACTTTGACTGCTAAATTTCCTATATCTTTTGTCACAATAGATACCTTTGCCCAGCTAAACGTAACACTGATCAAATCATTTATCACGTATTGCCTTTTCGATATTGGGAAAGAGTAAAAAAATAAGAGGGTTGAAACACCATGGCATGTTCAAGCTTCTTTGCTGCTTTGGTCCAGTACACAGCAGAAAATATTCTCTGGACCTCCTGCAGTGATATGATCTTAGATGGTTGAAGCTTCAACTTCCGCACTTCTCTGGTAGTTTATTCTGATTCTCTGTAAATCCATTGTGGCCTTTTCATCGAGGATTATCATGGATATGCTTTAACAACTTTAATATGAGGAGATAATTTTTATCTATACTGTTACACAGCTGTTACTCATAGAAGAACTAGATATGTTATGATGCCTCTATTCAAATAGACTGAAAAAGAGTAACAACTTTAAATATCCTAATGGCAGTTTCAACTCTGACATCTCCATGTCTTTATCCAAATTTCACCATACAAGCCTTATTGACAACACAACTCCACTTTTTCCTTATACTCTTTGCTGCTCATATGTATCCCTGCTTACAATTCGTAAAAATACCAGTGATGAATTTAGCTGATGACTTCTTCTTCTATTCTGCTCATCAGATTCATTATCCACTTTCCAGGTGCTGAAAAACAGGCAGAAATTGTTGAAGAGAGCATTAAACATGCAAGGGAAGCTATTGCTCTTGATGTCAGGGATGGAAATTCCTGGTGTGAGTTTCTATTATAAGTCAAATTCTTCTGTACTTCCTTTTCTAATTTATTAGTTAAAGATCTGGTGTAGGGTATTTGCATTGCTTGGCAGAGCGTATGCTTTAGTTTGAGCCTTTGTTTGTGAAACTGAATGTTAGCTGTAAAACCTGCCTACTAACAACTAGAGTAGTCCTTGTCTTCTCACTTAACATTCCAAATCAACATGCATGCTTGTGTGGACTCTGGCATCAGTGAATGGTTAGGACTGAAAAGTGTTGATTCAGCCTTCATCTGAAGCAAAGATCTGGAGACATGGGAGAGTATTACCAACTTCTAATGCTGAGATAATGATAACTTTAACCCTTCAATTCCTGTCCATCTATCGTGTGTTTAATATGCTTTGTGGTTGATAATGTTGACATTTGATATACAAGATGGCCTTTTTATGCTTATTCAAGTCATATGCAATATTATTGTCTGATGTTGACAGGAGACTTGATGCATTCTTGAAGAGTCTCTAAGACATGCTGTGGGTGTAATCAACATACTCATTGTTCTCACCTACCAACCCTTAAAAAGTAGAACTAAAAAGAAAAGGGAGACTTAAGATGCTAAAAGCTAGAAACACATGGTACTGATAGATTTCCTTTTATTTCAGGATTATGGGTACCTTGTTGTTGAGAGACCAAGAATAATCATGCCTATCTACCAGACATTTTGAGCATACAGCAGTTCTATGGCTAATAGTTACATATATTGTTTCATGTTTTCATCTTTGGCAGATAACCTAGGGAATGCATGCCTAACCTCTTTTTTTGTTACCGGAGCATGGGATCACAGTAAACTTCTGCAGTCACTGAAAGCATATCAAAATGCTGTATGTATGAGATAATAACTTATACATCCTCCGCGTGATGTATTTCTACTCTCTGAATTGTTATTAAGCCTGTAAAATATTTCTATTCTGCATATCAGGAGAGAGATGAGACAATGAAATCCAGTCCAGACCTGTATTTCAATTGTGCTACTGTAAGCATTTGTTCAACACTTTAAATCTTTGCTTTTCTTTAAGTTTGTGTGATTCTTTTTGTGCTTTCTAGCTTTTTTTTTTAATGATAATCTATAAAAGTTACACAGAGGACCTAATTGAATGAATAATTATAGCTGTGATTCTCAAAATTTAACTGACAAGTTTCATGAATTATGCGGAGGACAGAAAGTAGTACTCGCTTTGTATTAGCATTAAAGATGCTTTTCAAAATTCCATGTTTTTGTGTAAGGTAGCTCATCTTGCTTGGTTTCGAGATCTTATTCCAGCTTTGCCCAAAACATTGTCATTTTTAAGTCAGCTATGTCTTTTAAGTTCCAAAAATGTTTGTAGTGGGTGTGATTTCAAGCTTTGATGAGATGAAACTTTTGATTCTTGGAGAGGTTATAACACGCGGAGTGACGAACCCCAAAGTTGATTGTTATTTGCATCTTGTGCAATAGTAAGATTCCTTTGGGGTCCCATGTGGTCAGTTTTGCTCCTTTAAAGACCTCATTTGTGGGTAACTTTGAAACTACGCAAGGAAAAAATTAGTGATTCGATTTTTGGGTAGTCAAAAAGGATGTCATTTGGAAGTTACAAACCAAAGTTTTGAGCTTTTGTATTAACCTGCAGTAGCCATGATGTTAATGGTCAGCTAACTAGCTGTCTTGGAGAGAGGAAAACAAAATACTGAAGTAATGGAACAAAGCCAGTGAAGATGATGCAGTTTCACAAAAAATTAGAAG